TCTCCCTCTCTCTCCCTCTCTCTCCCTCTCCTCCTCTCCTCTCTCTTGCACCCATCTTTCTGCACGAAATACCGGCGATTCTTCTGCGACGGCTCCTCCCTATGGAATTCAGCAAAGATGACTCTCAAGTCCAACTTCGAAGAGATACCCACGCTGCTTGCGCCACCATCGTATCTAGACAGCACAGCCACCGACGATCAAGTGTCAGAGAAGGACTTGCTGCATCCCCGCACCAACATTGCGCCTCGCTATACTGCCTGGAAACTCGTTCTTGAAGCATTCATCGGCACTGCGTACCGTGCAGCTCCCGACGACCTGGACGAGGAGGAGCGCAGGGCCACTGCATTGCGAGAGGTGCTGTGCAATGTCAGGCTTGTCTCTCGGCTTCTGTACTCCGTCTCGATGACACTCTTGCGCACGAGGTTCTTCCCCGAATACCTCGATGCCATTCGCGCCACGGTCTACTCGACCAACCTCAGTCGGCAATCGCTTGACCACCCCTGCCGCGAGACGCGCGTTCTGGACCACTACATCTCGTATCGCATCAACCGCCGCTTCCTAGCATCACAGTCTTCGCTGCTTCTCAATGACGACGACGCCGAGTCGGATCAACGGCAGGTGTCCCAAGATCTCTTCAAGTGGCTCCAGCCGCAGACCTACATCGAGGACGAGATTGGCAAGGCGCTCGATGCCGGTGCGACACCCTCCAATGGCGTCCAATTCGGCGACCTTCTCGTGCGATTTCAGTTTACACGCGCTTCCATCACACTGCCTTTCTCCGTCGATGCAGGCTCCTCTCGTTCTGCCGCTTCCGCGCCGACCATCGTTCGCAAGGAATGCGTGGCTGTTGACAGAGCCTCGAATGAACCGGTCTTTGTCACCGCACACAGACTGCTCGACCAGCTGCAAAGCCTCGTCTTCGTCCGCAAGACGCAGTCGGGCAAAGCGTGGTACGAGCTTGTCGGGCGCTCCACTTGATCAGTCGTCACTTGAAGGACGCCACTCTCATCGCAACGCAGCAGCACCAGCATGAGCTTTGCAAGGCATGATCTCTATCCAATACCTCTGTTACAGCAATGATACCAATGGGTCGACAGTCAGGCCGACTTTTGACGAGCTCTGTTCATCTCTTCCATACTGCGATTGGAGCCAAGCAACCAATGTGCAAAGT